ATAAGCACCACTTCAGAAGTCCACCAGCAGCACAGATTTTCAAGAAGGGCTATTAGCAACCACAGTGCCTTACTTTCATATCTAACATTTAAAAACTTTCTAAGTACTCACACATTACCATTACGGAAGGGTGGGTGTATATTTGAAAGGAGAGAATGTGCTGCTCTCTTCTCACGACTCAGAGGACAGATAAATTTTTCCCTTCTCAGGTGAACTAAGTGGAGGCTGAATCCATTATTTTGGTAACCAAGGAAAAAGTGGGGTTAAATGCTCTCTGCCTGAGTTAACCAGACAGCTCCACCCACGGGACCTCAGTTCCCAGACTGGGGATTGAGAACAGTTCTTTTCAGAGAGATAAAGTGAAGGTAAAAGAAGAAAAGGAGCCTGCTTATAGAATTTTCAGCATTAGTTAATGAAATTGCAGGGCCCCATTATTTCAGGCGATAAATTTAAGAGGAGTGTTAGCATCTAAGTCAGGACAATTTATATTTGCTCTACTGCATTTGCATAGTCACAATATGCCAATTTCCTCTTTATCTTTTTGGCAAACATTTCCTGACCCTTAGCTGGATCCCTCAGGATTCTGTATTCAGTTTTTCTCCTTGCACCAATAATCTTGTTTAAGATGGATGATAGGAATGTTTTGGGCTGAAAGTAATTTAGTCTTTGTACAGTGGAGTTCTAATCCCTCTGATGGGCACCATATCCCCCCAGCACAAACATTAGATTTGGAACCTAAGCTGGAATGTTTTGGAAGGACAAGTAATTTAAATCAGAAGTGTTTGAATTCCCCCGTCCCCCACTCCCCTCGAACTTACTTGGATTCACAGTTAAGAGAGTTCCTTTTCCAAATGTCAGTTTATAGTTGCTACCTCCACTATTCTCACAGCCACAGAAGGCTTTACAGAAACCGGAACAGAAGCTGCTCTTTGCAGAAGGGTCCTGGGGGTCAATATGGTCTCGATTGCTCAACTCTTCATTAAACTACAGGTTTATAGGTTATTTAATAAGTCCAGAAGGCAGCTGCTGTAGGTGGGTGCTGGGGTTCCAGAGGGCAATGGAGCCCTGCTATATATATATTTATATATGAGTATGTGTGTGTGTATGTATATATATATTTAAAGTTTTTAAAATTAAAATTTAATTTTTTAAAATAATTTTCTTTGTGATTAAGCTGCCATCATGGTTCCAGTAATCCATTTCTTTCTTTTTTTTCTTTCCCAATTATCTTCCCCTGGCTGGTACTCAGATAGTTTCTACTTTTTGCACTTGTTGGGGTAACTCTTTCTCTGCTGTTTTTTTCATTGAAATTGCGTATCAACTCACTGGATTCTGATTTACTAGAAACTGATTGTAGAAGGGGAGTGAAGCAAGAGAGTTTTTACAGGGATGTGTTTAAAAGTGGAAATTTGAGGGCTTTCCTGTCTTTGCTGGTCTACTTCTCTATAAAGGACTATGCAAGATGAGCATATGTCCCTCAAGGAGAGCTTACAGGACACGGTCAAGAAAGGAAAAGACTGTAGCCAGCTGCATGTAGTTTCACCCTGTCATACTTACTCAGGTTGATGATCAGCCTGGTTCCTTGGCCAAATACCAGCTTCTGGGCTCCCTGAGTTACACCACAGCACAAGGCTTTACAGAAACTGCCAACGAGGGCCTCCCTCTCCCCACTGAGGAAGGCATCTGCTCTGCCCTCCTAGCAGTCCAAGGCTGTGGCAGAGGATGGCCCGAATTTCACTAACCAGAGAAGTTTAGCACAGGATCTCCCTGGGCTGCTCATTTTCTCCTTCACAAAGCCTCCTTTAGCAGTTGCAGACATGGTCCAGATTTTTCAGTTTCCTTGCCAATCAAATATTTAACATCTTCGTTTTCACTCCATAGAATTTTAACTTTTTTTAAAAAACAACAACAACATTTCTTTCAGCTTTTACAGAGCTCTCCCTAAAAACAGCTGGATTAAAAGAATCTTTAAAGTCAGAGTCTACTAGGTCTCCCGAGTAAAGTTAATCTGGCTTCCTCCTTAAAATTTCTGGTTTGAATGCGAGGGCCTGCTCATCTGGGACCTAATTTGTCGTGCTAAGACAGGAAAGGTGAAAAGGCAATGCAGAAAATCCAGGGGAAACCTGCGCCGTGAGATCTTCTGGTCCCTCCACACTTACTTGGATTTATTTTTGTGCTCATTCCCTTCCCCCAACAGGAGCATTACCAGCACTTGTCACTAACAGGGAGCCATCCTCAAAATCAGTTCTAGAGACTCCTACCCACGGGAACTTCAGTGTTGAAACAGACATGGTTTCTTCCTCTGCTCAGTGAAATTTGATTGAAAAATCATTTCTAATGTTGCCAAATGGAAAGGATTAGGAGAAAATCTCTTTGCCTCTGTTCTCCTTCCTCCTCTCCCTTCGTCTTCAATAGTTTTAAACTATTTATAGAAACGTCCCTTTAGGGTTAGAGAAATGTGGCAAATTTCTAATCTCTTCATCCTTTTTCTTGCTGTCTATTTACTGCAGTCATGTATTTACAATCTAAATTTACATTTCATTTCCATTTGCAGGAGCTTCTAATGCACTTTTCTATTACTTCCAGAACACTGTGTAAAATAATAAACTCTGCGGAAATAAACCAAATCACAAGAAGCGTTCAGGTCTGGAGGCTGACATTTCTCAAGACAGGTATGGGGCAAAAAACTTATTACTCTTTCAGGCAAGACTAAGATAGGGGCAGTCCAGTCAACTGAGCAACTAGGCTTGCAGGGTGGACGTGCTATGTCTAAATAACTATCTATTGAGCCTTGCTCCTTGGGATTAATTTGGATTTTCTTTTTAATCTAGTCCCCAAATACCAGCTTCCATCTTTTAGCTTTTAGAATCTCTCTGACAGGGAAAGCTTAAGTTAAATCTCATGGGGTTTTTGAATCTCAACCAATATTTCATCTCAGTACACATCACAAATAGAGGAACCAAAAGAAGGATGAATATAACACCTTTGGGAGAGAATTTATAACAGTTCTTTGGGAAAGATGGAAATTACATATAAAAGTAGAACTGTGTGTGCTTTTCCTGATTATCACTTTTAGTATCTGCAGGACTCTAAATGTCCAATCCAGTTTGGAAATAGAGCAGCTGACTCACCTGCTCTTTAGACCCTTGTTAGCCAGTGAACACACAGGTTAGCCTGGAAATGCTTTTCTCTCTTATGTTGTTCTAGGCATAAGAAACTTTAGGAAGGTAGCATGGAGCTCACATAATACATAGGAGGACATTCTGATTCTAAGTTTTCTAATGGGGATAACAATTTGGTCATGAAAGTAGTTTTATTTTGAGATACTCATTGAATAGTTGGTATCTTTTGGGAATTATGAGCAAAAGTTAAACCCCAAACAATTGTTTGAAATGAACTCCCATTATCATAGAAAACAGAGATTCCCTCATGGAACAAAATTTCAGCTACATTAAAGTTAATTGAAATTAGGTTTGTTTTGAGAATGGCAGAGCAATATTTAAAATATCCCCCTGAGTATTGCATTTGGATTAGGGAATCCTTCTCTCACACTTCCAAGCTTAGTTGCCACCTTTTCAACGAGGGACACAGAAGTGAGTGGGTATCAAAAGGGGCTTCTCTGATGCAGAAAGCTCAGACAAGGAGGAGATGAAAATGTTCCATGAGGACCCAATTAGAAATGCAGCAGTTAACAGCATCCTGGGGCATGTTTTCAGAAGTTCATGGTCTTTCTGACTAATTTGAATATTTGCTTTCAATCTTACCTTTTCCCTAAATATCAGCTTGTAGTCAGTGTCAGTACCAGAAAATCTTACAAGGCTTCGCCCAATTTAGCTTGGCTCCAAGATTTTGAGTTATGGGGATTAGACAATTCTTTTCCTAATTGCACCAACGTGGAAGCTTTGGGAAGACAAGTCAGCTGACACGGAGTGCTGACTCAGTTGTTTAATCAGCAGGCTACATCTCACGATTTCCTTTTGGATTAGGTTGCATTGCATACTCCCAGCCATTGGTATCTATTTTAGTCTAATCTATCCTTACATTGTCCTTTCTAAATGCTTTCTGCCCCTACACACTAAAACTTCAATTCAGATTCCATTTGTCAGACACATATCTCCAACATTAACAAAAACACACTTAACATTCCCAAGTACTTAAAGGTGTTAAAGAAACAGTCCTGAAGGGGCTGCAGTCAGGGGCTGCCCACATTGTCATTTTCTCCAGAAAGACCCATGGTGAATGATGTTAATAACTGGGCAGGAGATTCAGTTATCTTTCACTGAATTTCTAAGGATGGTGGCTTATGTTTGGAAACAAGTAACATTCATTAAAACATACCTGGTCTAACATTCAGAGTTACTCCTTTTCCAAATGTCAGCTTATTATTGGCTCCAGTATCACACAATGACACGAGGATCTACAAAAACTCAGTTGCCCCAACTCCCCTTGATATTTACTTAAGTGCTTACTTGTCATCCAAGAATCTCCCTGATAAAACCAGTTGTTTGTAGTATGGGACTGGTGGAAGAGTTTACAGACCACCGGGGGCCTTCCTTTCTCCTCACACTCATTGTCACCTTATTAGAAATGTACCAGCATCCCCTCACAGCACGCTTGCTGTGGTAAAATGGGAACAGGAACTGCCTCCCCTGTTCTACGGAGAAGGAAAATAGAGGCTCAGAGAGTTAATCAACTTTCTTCTAGTAACATGGAAAATCTCACCAATTATAATAAAGAATGAAGCTTTCGAACAGTCTCCTTTCTAACAGACTCCTTAACACAGTGCTCCACTGGCACTGTCATTCTCAGCTATTAGTTAAAATAGCACGTGAGGGCAAACAGCAGAGACCTGGGTGTAGTAGGAATACACCAGCAGTTGTTTGCATTGGAATCCATTAGTGGGACTGCTGTGGTTTGGACTTGGGTTATGAAACAGAATGGAAAATTTGGAAATCAGGGTTCCAGGGAGAAATTTGGAAGGATTAGTTATTCATACTTACATGGGTTTACTGTCAGTTTTGTTCCCTTTCCAAAGACGAGCTTTTCAGATCCGCCCTGAGTTACACCCCCACAGACTGCTTTACAAATACTGCCAAGACCCTTCCACCAGGGGCTGGGAGCCAGGGCTCCACCCACTCTCCCAGGGGAAGCATAAAATTATACAATTGTATTGCTATTCCTGAAAAGGGAGAGGACCTCTGGAACAAATGTGATTACTTTTTTACCTTGCAGCCTGTTAGGTTGTTGTCTTATTAATTAAGTAATTAGTTAATCTAGCTGGTCAGTAGTTGCAGTTAATGTAAAAGATCTCAGGCTTTGGGGCAGGCAGGCTTGAGTTTGAAACCCAGGACAAGTTTCCTAACTGCTGCACCTCATTTTCCTCATTTGGAAAGTGGGGAAAACAATAACTGCTTGATGATGTAAGGATTAAGAATATGGAACTGGGTCACAGTGGTCCTGTTGATCAACCCCTGGCTTTACTTGCTGAGAGCGCAGTTCTTTAGGGATTATTTTAGCCACCTTAGAGACTAGAGCATCAGGGACATTCCCTCCAGACATAATCCCCTCACTAGAAAGCTTTTAGTTCTGGAATCTGAGTGCCAAGAATTGAATTCCAGGTTCTCTTTCTTACTTCACCAGCTTGAACAAGTTATTCCACATCTCTGTGCTTCTATAGAAATATAAAATATAAATATCTCTTCTATAAAATGAGGATAATAATAGCACCTAACTCACAGGCCTGGTATAAGGATTCAGTGTGATAAGAGAAAGATTGCGGCACATCAGCTAGCATATAGAAACCAATTAATAAATCATCATTACTGTTTTCCTCTCAAGAAGGCAAACACATTACCAACGTTCGTTTTTTCACAATGACCTAAAAATATGAAAGCACCTGGGCACTTGTCTTCCTCTAACTGATAAACTAGCAGGGAGATGAGGGTCAGAAGAGCAACCAAGCAGTTTGGTGAAGGGATTACGTGATTTTTGTGAGACGTTAGAAAAAGCTGCATCCCACTGCACACGTGCACATCCATGAGCATTGTTTAGCCAGGCAGGACTTGAATGTGGCAGAGATGGGGCAAGAAGCCATATCTCGATTCATTGGCGTAAAATGGATACATTCAGGCAGAGGATTCAATGCTCCCCTTCACTTACCAAGATTCACTGTGAGCTGTGTTCCTTCCCCAAAGGTCAACCTAGAGCCACTGGTTTGTTAAACACTGTGCTGGGGGGTTTTGCAAAAACCTGCGGCGTCAGCTTAATGAACCCAGCTTTGCAGAGCTTCCCAAGAACTAGAATTTTTCTCCAACTTCTAAGCTTCAGGGGAAAGATAAGTCATGGGATCTTTCTTTCCTGTAGCCTAGGGCTTCAGGCCTGAGAGATATGTCCAGAGATACGATTTTCACTTCAAGACACCAGAAGGCTCAACAAGCCAATTCTGTATACATATCCTATGGTCCAAAACAATCACATAGCTGATGCAATATATCATAGAATACAAACCCCGCTGGGAAAGAAATTAGCTATGCAGAACTTATAGGTAGTGTTCTATGGTCATAATCACTGTCTGAAGACAAGACTAGCATTTTCATTTTGTTTTTTTCACCCCTCTCTCAGTCTGCAGATGACTGCACCTTTCCCCTAATATCAAGTTCAATTATTGTTCCACTTTAGCTTGCTTTTTCTTTCAACAGGCGCAGAATAATTTTATCTCCCTTTGGAACTCAGGATTTCTTTTTGAGTTCATTAAGTCTTGGGTAAAGAATGTTTGGGATGCAAATGATGCTGCTGTGCCAAGGACTATGATGTGTTTTTCTCCCTTGGGTCTGGGCTGGAGAGAACTATGAGCTGTCTTGGCTTTGCCCTGGACCTTGATATCAGGTTCAGTTGTGTGACCTTGAGCAAGTTCATAACCTCCCTGAGTTTCACTGTCTTCGTTTGCAAAATTAAAGAGGTGGGTGAGGAGATCTTTAATTACTTTCTGAGCTGAGAGTCTTTGATTTGATTATTTGGGTCTAATTTATCCAGAAATGATGTGCAAACGTCCCTGCCCTCCCCACTCACCACCAGGGCATCTAATCTTCTTATTTCCTAAACAAAATAAAACAAACAAGCAAACAAAAGAAAAATAGTTCTCTACTTATTACATAGAGAAATAGTTTTCCAAGCCTACTATCTGATCTAACATTTGATCTTTTTAGAAGTTTGAAGTCAGAATTTTGCAATCAAATCCTCAGAGAGAAGTAAGTGTTCTTTCTTTGGAACTTCCAGATAATTCAAAAACCAAACCAAATAACCTGACACCTTTGGTTTAAAGATAGCACTTACTAAGCTTCACTCTCACTCACGTCCCGTTCCAAATGTAAATTTCCTGTTTCCTTCCTTCCCACAGGAGCTGCTGCCTTTACATAAACTACAGGCTCTTGCTTACCCATAGGAAAGGTGGTTTGATCTTTACAGCCTTTTCCCACCGGGTAAGAGAATTCATTATCTGGCCAAGTGTTTCAGCCCTCTGATTGACAGGTGTTAGGTATAGAGGGGTTCCGCTAAAGTTACCTCTGGAGTCGAGGTACTCACCCAGGCTCACACTTAACTCAGTCCCCTTCCCAAAGTTGAGCATCTCGGTGTTCTTCACACAGTACCCAGGCCCTTTACCAAAAGCCCCTGTTAGTGCTGTGCTGCAACTTCCTCCTCTCAGACCCTGGTCGTATCTCTAGCGTGATTAGGGGTGCAAGGGGGGCCAGCATCGTGAACAGTCATCTGGGCTTGCACCTCTCTTACTCATACAGCACAGGATTCAGGCCGTGAGGACAGCAGGACCAATCACGTCAGGATGGTCCAAGGTTCTCTGGCTACACAAGGAACTCATGTCCTGAAAACCTAGCAGGCTGTCTTTTGTTGTCCATCCTGCTCTACAGATTTATAAGAAGATAATGGCCTGCTGGTTTACAGCTGGTTCTGACCTAGGGCAGGGAAGGAGACCCTGGTGGGCCACCAGTGTTGCCAGGCTCCCTTTTTCATCACTGGAAAGACAAAAAGTACCACTTCTTTGTTGACTGCTGGGAGCCTAATTGCAGAAACATATAATTCTTAAAATACTTTTCCCCTGTAGACTTTACAGATCAGCTTAAGAAAATACATAATTGGTGAGATAAACCTGCCCTACAAAATAATAGAATACATGCTAAAGCCAATCATAAAATAATATTTCGATTGCCCGGTGTTTTAGGTTACCCATGCCATTGTGCCCTTTTTCTTCTGAAGCTAAGCTGCTTACCCAGGGCCACTGTGGTTAACCATGTCCCGGTCCCAGAGGTAAATCTGTTGTCATTTTTCATCCCTTCTGTGGCCCATTGACAACCCCCCAACTCCCTTAAGGCAACGATAATGTTTCCTCAGAAACTGACTCAGATGATCCGTGGGAAAAACTGTAGGCTCTTAACAAATACTTGTTTAAATTGAATTGTATTAAACATTCATCTTTTGTTCCTATTTGTTAAGGCACATTAGAATCTCCCACTGATAATTTTCAGATAGAAGAAAAAAATTCTGCCAAATATTACTTGCTGAGTTTCATGATTCCTCTAGTGTTGGCTCCAAATGTCAGTTTCCTATTAACCCGGTACCCACAGGAGTGAGCACCTTTACAAAAACCAGAGGCGTCAGCATGGTTGAAAGGGATGTGGCATCAACTTTGTTGACAGAGACACCCCTCTGTTCCCCACAGGGGCCCCATTTTGCCTGGGAGAGGGCTGCCCTCCTTCTGTCTTTCAGAGCAGAGATAGGAGAGAGCAGAGCGGATTTCAGGGATGAAGATAATAAATACGATAACAAAATGTTATCACACTAGACACAGCCTTCTTCTTCTTCTTCTTCTTCTTCTTCTTCTTCTTTTTCTTTTTTGGCCAAATTGATGGTGTCCCAAAAACTGTTTTCAGCACATTTCTCTCTTCCAGATGTAATAATAACTGGATTTCAAGTTGGCATATGGGCTTGGACCTCCAGGCTCTGATGAGTCACACACAGTAAACCAGGAAATTATGCTACCCCCTAATGAAGAAGCATGTTTTCCTTTTTCCTCTTGCTGGGCAATGAGGAGTTCAAGCAACATGCACAGGGGGATATAAACTAATAACTCTTGGGTCAACTCTATAATTTTACACATTAGCATCCTAGAATGTGAGACTTGGAAGGAAATGTAGCAACTGCCTGGGCCAATGCCCTCATTTTAAAGATGGAAATGCTGAAGCTCTGAGGGGTAAATTTGCTCAAGGTCATGTAGATAGGTAGAGGCAGAGCTGGGACTAGAATTCAGGATACCTGAGTTCCACTCCTGCCTTGTGTGACTCCCTTTCTGTGACTCAGGAGAACAAGGATCGTCTCTGGGTGGTCTCTGTCCCCAGGGGCTCTGCTAGCTGGTTCAGGGTATGATTATTCCTGCTAATTATACAAGAATAAGTCCATATATAAATAAGTCACACTGGGGAGGTGTTTGGCCTTGACACATTGTTTATGATTTTAGAGAGAATTATAGGTATTTAAAAATTTTATTTCTTAGGCTGCAGGCAACAGCAATTGGTAGCAGGGGAAATGGTCCATGAGATCCCAGGGAAGCCATGGAAAAGATAGAAATGGAAAAATTTGCCCTTTACCAAAAGGACAATCCAATGGAGAATTGGCTCTGATTATTCTTTCTCTGCAGGACTCATTTCAGGGAATGACATCGAGAGCAGGAACGGCAAATACAAAATGGTGTGGGGTTGCCTCCTGCTCCTGTGGTAGATATTGCTAATAGACACATCACTCTCTCCCTCTGCATATAGATGTGGCCTCAGAATCCTTCTCACCAGCATGCTCCAGATAGTCTCTACCAATTGTTACCTCTTGATCATGGAGATAGAATCTGTTTGCCCTCCATGCCCTGGGGAATAATAAGAGAAAAGACCCTGCAGATGGCTTTAGAAATCTGGTTAGCAAGAGTCGGGTCAGGTCCCACACAGCCCCATCATAAAAAGTATCACTGACCTGGTTGGACCAAGACCGTTCTTGCCACAA